CATGAGCTTTGGTTCTAGTCTCACCCTTAGCCATTCTGAAGGGTTTCATTCTTTGGAGGGGCACAGCTCTGTGCATTATGTACTAGATGCTTCCTTCATACCAAGTTGAAAGTCATTGTTTATTGAACCAAAGTTGGCACTGAGAATGGAAACAAATGGGAAAAGGATGTGTATCTGAATTCACATCGTGTTATTTATGCCCACAGGTCCATGGCACATAGCACGTATAAGCATTTTTATTTATTTATTTATTTTAGCGAACTCAAGTAGTCCTTAAATAAATGAATAAATATAGAATGAAATTGAAATTGAAATTTGGAAATAAAATTGTATTAAAGAGCAATGCATGTCACCATGTTCAATGTAATTCCCTAAGCAGAATTCCTTTGGAAAAGTAAAACTGACACATCTGGTCTCATGAAATTGTTAGGAGGAGTTAAACATTGATTATGGGGGAAAAGTAAACCCTGCACTAGAGCGGAAGTCATTCCTTACAGTGCAATGGATAATAATTCTGTAGCTGTGCCATCCAGAAGTCCACGTAATGCTTTTTTATTCCAGGATATCTTATGTAGGATTTAAAATGTCTAGAGGGATTTTCTATAAGCGTTGTTTTGTTTTGTTTTAAATAAGGAAGATAGGTCAGAATGGATAGCCGCCTTTTTTTTTTTTTTTTTTGGCCTTAAAAAAGAAGGGCCATTTTTAATACAACCACTGACCTGGCGATTGTATTTTCTTTATTAGTAGTTAATAGTATTATTGTTACTATTTGCTGCATATTTTAGCCTCATGACAGCACCGTACATGGCTTAATATTTCTTGGATTCTCTGGATTCTTCGTTGCAAGTAATTGACCTTCTTTGGATATTTGATGTATAGAATTGCATGAAAAAATATTAAAATACTCCAATGAACAATGTATATATCTATTGTGAATTCCACATTAAAGGGGTACAGAAGCTTATTATGAACACAGAGAGTTGGTTCATTTGCTTTCTCCAGCTTGCTGAATGTACTGTTTGTCTTGATGTAGACTGTGTTATTTATGAAAAGTCTGCATAGTGGAAGAAAACATAGGGAGTACTGTTCAAAGAATCGCTAAGGAGGTATTATTTCAGATAATAATGTAATTAGACTCCTTTAGAGGAAAATGTAACTTCATATTTTCAGCTTTTCTATGGGAACATAGCTGTTGCTAATTAAGGGAAAAGTCAACTAATTTATAATGCTTAAATTTAGTGTTAAACTTGATAATATATCCAAATTTACAAAAGCCAAAACAGCTTCAGACCTGGCTCAAAAGCAGTTCTTTAATTTAGGGTCAGATTGAACACTGTTTATGTAATCAAAATTCTAATTTTGTAGAGCCTTCTAGGTCTTAAAAGGCATCGAAGGCAAAAGAAAATTTCTCACAAATCTGCCATGTTCAAAGTAGCTACTGCAAAGCAAAACCTTTTTTTTAAAATCTCCAATTTATCCTGACAAAAATTCTCTTGGGCTTTTATTTCAAAAGATGAAAAATGAGCCGTGGCAGTCAATAGAGTACGGTGACTATTTATCTGTTTACACCTATCCATGTGATTGCTAGAAAAACCAGATTAGACTTTGAACGTGATATGAAGAATGTACGCTAGTCATGAGCCCATATTCCTAAGAGGAGAAATAGGTTAAAAACTCAAAACTAAAATTTAGAAACCATACATTTTATTTTGTAAACAATAATTCAAAGTCTGATTTTTTTTTTCAGTTAAAATGTGCGTCCAAGTTTTAAATAAACCTATCATATAGCAGATCAACTCCCAGTTTAGACTTTTTCTCATCAACAACAACAACAAAAATCAGAGGTTCCCTCTCTTGGCTTTGGAGCCCCCCTCTCTCTGTCTCTGTACAGGGGAGCCTCTATCTTCTACCTTCTGCCATCTTTCTTGCCTATTAAACTCTCCACTCCTTAAAACCACAAACTCCAAAAAAATCACAAGGCTTACTATTTAATAATGTCCATGTTTTAATTTACATAATAGGTATCTATCAGAAAAATACAATTTTGATTAATTGAAGAATAACACAAATGCACAAAAGATGCCTTTTATTTATAGAATTCTATGACAAACACCTTTACAAAGCAAAGGGCATTTCAATAAAGCTAATAATAATTCTGAATCATTCTTATTTTGTAGTTCCAATTTTCATAGATTGGGCTTTAAGTGGATATGCACTTAATTTATACAGCAAAATTTATACAGAAAATTTATACGGCAGCCGTCCTGCCGTAATCGAAAAGCAAATTCATTTTTGAAGGAAAGTAGGAAATACACAATGGCACAATGCCTCTTTTACGGCCACATCTGCACAGCTCAGGGAAAAGTTAGCAGATATGTCTGCTGATCACATTACAAAGCTGTTATGAGAGAATAAAGTCGCACCTTTGATGGGCTATTGCAGCTGAGTTAGGGGTCCCCAGTCATTAGAAGTTTTGCATGTCACAGATCACAGCAGACTGGAGACCCAGAAATACTTTATGCAACAAGGTGAATTTTGGTCATTTTCATCAAATATCAGTGGACCCGTTAAATAAAGATGAAAGACACACACACACACACACACACACACACACACACACACACACACACACACACGGCAGAGATAAAGATGGGTTTAGGTTATTTCTGACTTTCACCTCTGTGATAGAAGTCCATTGTGCTCATGCAGTGCCTTCAGGACACCCGCTGAGAACAAAGCTGCTTTCAGGAGCAGTAAGTGATTTCATTCTATTAATGTCCAGGTGATATGTGAAGCCCATTATCACATCGCTAATGTGGCGGCAGACATTTCCTGGCCAACCCAAGGTAGTAGCTCAAATGTTTGTAAAATGTGTGACTGGAAAAGGTAGTCCTTAGAAATCTTTTTAATTTTCTACTAGTGAATGCTAAAAACAACCAAAAAACTGATCTTTCAAATTTCAAAAGAAGATGAAAATGAATGCTGCATGAAAAATCACAGGAAACATTTACACAAAACAATTTACAGAATTTAAGGGAAGGGTTTGGGTGAAAGGTTTCTTTTCCAGATGCAACGGGTCCCATGTTGTCAGAGAAAGCTTTTCATATAAGGGAAAATGCGAGTAATGTGGAAAAGTGGATAATTCTAGCTCACTTCATAGCACATTGAATAAACAGGAATCACCCTTGACTGTCGCTCACTCTCCCCATAAGAACATTTCATAACACATTGGGGGCCACCTCCATGGTCCCATGTCAGGCAATATGCCCTGTGAAACCTACATAACCAGCTCCTAGACACCTTAAATATACTGAAGCACAGAAATGAATAGGAAGGCTAAAAACAAAATCTGCAATATTATTAAAAATAACCACTGCTACCCAATTTTAAGAAGATACTGGAAAATGATACACATATTCTTGATTAACATCTTGTCAACCGTTCTGAATCCAAAGAGCTCCGTAATATTACCAGAACTGTAACTACTTTTCTGAATTTAAGAGCCCACCTCAAATAAATGAAAACTTATCATTTTTCAGATGGCAAAGAAGGCCTACCTGGTAAGCCTGATTTTTTTTTAATGAAATATGTTACTTTAAAAATGGTTAGGATTTGAGTTTAGGTAAAATTTTTTAAATCTAAAATGAATACAGTAAAATCAATATTGATTATTAGGAGTAAAGGTGCTAATTGAGCCTGGAAAACCTTTTAAGAACTAAGAGGAGAAAATTTCCAGTAAAACTACAATAAATTACTATTCAATAACCAGAATATTTGTGTGGAATTTAACGTCAGTACATCAGCCTCCCTTTAATTTTTTTTTTAAATCACGTATTACTGATTCATCCAGGAAGACTCTTCCAGTAATAAGAGCAGTGTCACTTTGGCAAGTTATCTTTTCAACCTATATTTCATTATGTTCTAAAGAAATCCACTTTTTAGATTTCTTATGCTTTTAAGAATTCCTTTTTAATCACCCCTTGTTTTTTAGTGCTCAAGTCTTTCAGAGCTTGATATGTACTGTTCTCACAGTAAAGTGAAAGCAAAACCATTTTATTTTAATAATGGATCACATTTTAATACTTGATGCAATATTCTGAGAGCAAATATTCTAGAGGACAAGTTTAAGAGAAAAAGATTTTATTCTTTATTGTGTTATTACAAAAGCTGATCCTAATTTTCAATAGGGCAAATACTGGCAAAGTCCAAATCCCCTGTAAACACTTGCTTTAATCAGTGTCAAGGCTGGTGCTGATTTTGAGTTGAGGAACCCCAACATTAAACTTTATGCTAGCATTTAGACACTCCATTGAAGAACTTTTCATTCCAGAGCACTCCAAGGGCTTCATATAGGCTGAAACCCATTGTCTGAAGCAATATTTAAATACCTTGCAACATATTACTGTTCCCATTAGAGACAAAAGGAATTCTGGTCCTTCCCAACAGATGCTTCTCCATGGTACCCTGACCCATTTCGTCCTATCTTTTATACTCAATCTATCTAATTTAATTATTATCCTCTTAGAGAAAAAAATCTGTAACCAATTCATATTTCTGGCGTCCTAGCCATATTTATGGTCTTCTTCCCATCCACCCAGGGAAATGAGAAAAATGGAGACATGTGAAACTGGGCAACAGTTTCCTCATAATCCTCTTTTTTTTTTTTTTTTTTTCTGAGATGGAGTTTTGCTCTTGTTGCCCAGGCTGGAGTGCAATGGCGAAATCTCAGCTCACCAAAACTTCCGCCTCCCAGGTTCAAGCAATCTCCTGCCTCAGCGTCCCGAGTAGCTGGGATTACAGGTGCCCACTACCATGCCCCGTTAATTTTTGTATTTTTAGGAGAGACAGGGTTTCACCATGTTGGCCAGGATGGTCTCAAATTCCTAACTCAGGATTCGCCCACCTCGGCCTCCCCAAGTGCTAGGATTACAGCCGTGAGCCACCACATCCGGCCCTGCTCATAATCTTTATTGACTGAGTTCCCTTCTCCCATCTTACAGGTGACATAGAGTGACAGTGGTGCTCCATATTCCTGAAGGCACCTGGAAATATTGTGGGCTGTGCCCTGAGCTGACATCAGGCGGGTTCTACCTTCCTGATTGGCCTCTTTTGGTGCTTGAAGAGCCCACTGAAACAACAGACTGAGCAAAGACTTACAAATGCTGTGCCTGGAATCTACTTGAAAGAACGCTAAGTTCAAAGTGGTCATTTTGCAGATGAGAAAACTGAGGCCCAGGACCATGAAGCATTAACAGAGGATTGAGACTAAGGCTCTGTCCCCTGATTTCCATTCCAGTGGTCTCTTTCCAGTACACAGGCTGTGCCATAGTTTTTACAGGCATCTGCAATTTTGCTGGTAGAGTTACTTCTATGGAATCTTCTGGTAGAATCTCTTTAAGTGGCCCTTGGAGTGTAGGCATTATGGGCAGTCTGCAGTGACTGAGCACTCCAAAGCAGTTTAAACAGGCATGGCAGCAAATCCCAATAACATTGGGCAGATGCTTTAGACATTTAAAGATCTGCAGATACTGCAGAATCCCTCAGTTGTGTGGTCAGCACACAACAACTCACATAATTGTAAAATTTTTCTGCAATAAAAATTATTTTTATAATTAAAAAACATACTAAGTGTTATAAAAATATTACCACTGGAAATAACACCTGTTTTGACACCACTTTATAAAGACTTTTCCTGTAATTATTTCATCCTGTCTTCACAAAAACTGATGACGTATGAGCATACCTATTTCCACACAAGGAAACTGAGGCTCAAAGGGATTAAGTGATTTGTTTAATGGTATTCAGTTATTAGGCAGCAGAACAGGAACCTGAAACCCAACTCCCTTGCTTCTATACATTTCTCCTAAATCACAATCCCTCTTGATACAAGCTTTAAAATTGCTTTCCTTGCAATTTTCCTGAGCATCTTGGTAAACAAAGGTCTCTAGGTAAAGTCCAAATGATTTTTCACTGACTACTGCCTGGCTTCTAGTTCTCTTTGAAATCTCTTCTTTTTAGTCTCTTTTGCATTAAATTTTGAAAGAATAAGATCCTGAGGAACTTAACTGTGGCCTGCAGGATTGTGAAGTCAGGGAATCTGAGGCAGGAATTAAAAGGTACATGCATGCAAATAGGAACACACCTTCTCAAGAACTTATGGTTTTGTTTTTTTTTTTTTGGATAGTCTCTTTAGTAGTTGGCACCACAGGTGCACCACCATGCCTAGCTATTTTTTAAAAATATTTTTATAGAGACAGGGTCTCCCTATGTTGCCCAGGCTGGTCTTGAACCCCTGGGCTCAAGCAATTCTCCCACCTCAGCTTTCCAAGGTGCTGGGACTACAGGCCTGATTCACTATACCTGGAAATTTATGCAGGAACTTTTTTTCTTTTTTTGGTAATCTCTCTATGAATTCATTATAATACCATTTTACTGTATATTTAACAAATAAAGCTATCCAAGAAAACAAATAAACAACAAGAAGAACAACAAAAACAAGGAATTCAGTAATTTACTACTAACTCAACATTCACCAAATCTTGTGTAACACTTGCCAACCAAGGGTAGCCGAACTGCTCTTTTCTATGAGAAATCTTAGAATTTACAGCAATTTATCATCAGGGCTGATGTCTGAGCTCTTGAAACAAAATTGAAAGCTGGGATGTCCAGGAACCTGAAGTGAGTTGCTATCTGTTTTGTGTTTTGATTTGATTTGTTTTGCCTCTCATTTTTCAAGGAAGCCTTTCCGTAATCCACAGCCTTTGCAAGGAAGGAGAGTTGCGTAGAAGGGCCAGCTTTGGGGTCCTCAGATGAAATATCTGGGAGCATTGCCCAACACTACTTTTACTGACATTCAGCCGGGTCAAGGCCATGGCTCCAACTAGGGAAAAAATAAAAGGCCATTGTGCAGCTGGGTGAATGGCTGCTATCTTAGTTACTTGCACCAAAGCTCTGGTATAAATATTTGATTGTTTCTTTCTAGATTTTTTGGTTACATTTCTGGGGAGAATAGAAAAGCCACAGTATACATGCCTGTGTATATATATATATACACACACACACAACACAACCACACGACCGTAAACTTTAATTGGAGGTGGAATTCTGGTTTAAGGATCAACTCTTCTCCAGATTGTCTAAAAATAATAGTAGCATAATCTTTTAAACCACTGTTTTGATCCCTAGCTTATTTTTACTTTATTAGTTAAATAATTAGTGTTCACATTAAGCCAAGGGCGTTTCAGGCTTTAAACCTTTAAAGCAGAATCCAACATGTGAAGTTAACTTTTTCTTTATTCAAAGTATTATAATGAATATAAATGTGAAATCACTTTACCAGTTATAAAGCAATATACAAATGCAGGCTGATATGATGCTTAATTGAATCCATGCATTCATTCATTAACCAAACAGTTAGTGCTCATCACGTAGCAGCACAGTGCCAGGAACTTAACAGTGTCAAAGTTGCCTGAAGACCCCTTTGATTTTGGTTTGGAATTGTGAACCTGTAATTTATCCAGTGAGTAATATACCTTTGAAATGGGTCCTGATTTCAAAGATAAACATACAAAGCCTTTCAATTTTGAGTTTATAAACAACTGAATTTCACTGAGTAGTATTTTGAATATACACCAATCTATTCAAAGCAAAACTCGTTTCTTAGCCTCATCAGCTGCAAGAAATGTTACCCAGCAATTGAAGTCTGGGAGTTTACCCAATGCAAAGTAATGTAGCTATTTGATGTTTTCTTAGTTTTATCATTGTAGAAAGCAAATTAAAATAATTTATGCCCCTAAAGAGATTTTTCTTCTTTCCTCCTTTCCTTTTTATTTATTGTTGCTGCTGTTAGTAGTTGAGATATTTTGAGAGAAAGTGGGGGAGGGCCGCACAATCATCTTGCTGAGCTGAGTAGATCAAAGGAACAGATTCTATGGGCTAGGCATACTCTAAATGTTCTTTGGTTTTTGATGCCCCAGAATCACACTAGATCCTGTAATTTAAATTTCATTGTCAGAATTGTATCTAGTTGAGTAACTTCTACCCTATGTTATCAGAAACAAGGTTTCTTTGAATAGTACAGAGAAAAAAAAAAGAGGCAGAGAAAAAATTCTTCTCCAATAAACCCTTATTCAGGATCTACAGATAAATACTCACTTCACAATTTCTGCTTGTATTCTATATAAGCCCTCATGGCACAAAAAGAGATTTTTTTAAAAATTTAAATAACAGATTCTTGAAAAGGAGTTTCAAGCTCCTTGAGGGTAGTGAGTTTATTTTGTTTTAACTCTTCAGCATATAGCCTTGGTCTGGCTATGTTTGTTAAATAAGCAAGTAAATGAATGAATTATGATAATACCAGCAGCATCTACCAAAACTACTGAGCAATTCCAGCCCAAACTAAGTGACATTCAACCAGAATTTTTTTAAAAAAACATCAGGCACAAAGAATGTTAGCCTGAGCTAGGAACAAAGCTATGCTATGGCCATATAGAGGGAGTTTCATAATGTTGCTCACCCTAGAGAAGTGATTTCCCAAAGGCAGGTCTGTGCAAACATTTTCATAAATCCAGAGCAGAATGAGGGAATTTTCTTAAGAAAGATTTTATTCTTAGATTATGATCTTCTCATATTACAGTATAAAAATTTCCCTTCTTCTATGAAACAAAGGAAAAAAGAGACTGGTTGTGTTCACTGTCTTTACGGGAGTGCGGTGGGAGGGAGTTAGCAATTCTTTTAGTCCTCAAACTATTTTTGGAAACTGCCAGTTTACGAAAAGCCAAGGTAAAATAATCAGTGGACCACAGAACTTAGCCTCTAAGCCCGCTCTCCTGAGAGTAGATGGGGCCTACAACTACAAGTCACAGTAACCTCCTATGACTCTTGTGACTGCCTGCAACAAGGCAGCAAAAACAGACCATCTCCTCCTGATGTCTGCAACTTTCTGGGTGTGATACTGACTACAGGTGAGGTTTTCACAGGTGTTTCTAATTCATTCCTACATGAACACAGGCTGCACTTTTAACCAAGCTTTTGCCGATGAATGCTTCATTGAATTCTCCTTTCTTGGAGAGACTTTGGAATCACTTGATCCCCAGATTCAAACAGCATTCCAAGGCACTGGGGTTCGGGGAAGCAAAACCAAGGCACGTTTCAAACGACGGCAAAGGCCTCTGCCGACCTCCCTGTACATGGTGCTGTTTGTCATGACAAGATGCTAATTTCAAACTAGAAAGTCTATTTAGTCAAGGAATGGAAACCCCCACATGATATCAGGACTGTTTCACATCACACACTCAATTCCGATCCCACACTCACAGTGCACTAACGTCACTGAAGAAAATCACTCCAATTCTGGGTACTCCAGCTATCTGAGAGTCCAAAAGCTTAGACCATCATGTGCTTTTTGCTATTATTCATGCTGAGAAGATGTTTTCATCTTTTTTTGTTGTTGTTGGTCAGAGAAACTGGGTGGTGCTTTTCCTTAAAATAACTTGAACAAAAATTAGAAATGACATAACATCTGTGACAAATGAAAATTCTACATTGTATTCATTCACTGAAAACTCTCCCAGCAATGTATGACAAGCCAGCCAAACCTGTAAGACAGCCTCCCTATCTGGGGAAATACTGTGAAGCTGGACAAATGAAACCGAGCTTTGAACAAATATACCCCTAATCCAACATAAGACGTGGCTGAACAGCAAACTCAATGAGATCTTTGGTTTAGCAGAGAGATTATGTAATGTCAGAGAGCTCCAGGCTTGCTTAGCTACATGTCTGAGAATGCTTAAAACGGTCCTTCCACACCAACTAATACAGATGTACAATTCACTGACCTAGTTTTCCCAAATTGGATCAGTAGCAAATGGTGATGATTTATGTCCCAAACCTTCCACCATGAGCAATCCAAAAAACATATTCAAAGGGGTTGGGGGGGGAATCACATGTTCAAGGGAATATAGAATACCCGGATGTTGTAAATTAGGTTCCAGAGCCACTGGCTAATATCAGAGTATGTCTGCAGCATTATAAGCTGCTGCTAACCTATGAATATACAAAGAAAAAACATTGGACATTTACAAGGAACCATTCATTCATTCAAATGAACAAACCTAAGGAGAAAAGAGCCTACCTATGAAGGTAGACCCTAATATAGGGCATACACACTGGTATTAATAGCAGGTGGCATCCTGAAAAGAAAGTTCTTGTCAACTAATTAGCAATGTGTCTTAGGCAAGTGATTTTTCTCTCTGGCCCTTACTCAGTTTTGTGATCTGTAAAACAGGGATTGGATTAGATTAGATCATATCTAAGGTCCCAAACATTGCTGATACTTTCGAATTCAAGTTGTTGATCGAATATCAAGAGAAGATTGTTAAGGATTAACATGATTTTCAAGATAAATTTAGATCACCCTCCTCAGTGCATACTGAACATCTTCCATGAGAGACCACTGCCTTAGTATGTGGGGGAAATGAGGCAAAATGTTCAAATACAGTCTTTAATTTGAAAGGGTCTGACATGTTGGTTTAGGAGATAGCACAATGCATAAAATTGCAATACAGATCAATCAATGCTAAGTTCCAAAACGTCCAGCACAGACACAGCACAGAATTCAAAGGAAGAAAAGCTTCTCCAA